AAAAGAAACAAATATCAATATTGTGGCAAAATTTTTTTACTCAGACACAATAGCTTTCTCAATATCAGAGAATTCACACCGAAGAGATGTGATACAAATGTAAGAATGTGTCAAATCTTTTAATCAAATTTTATTCCTTGGTAAACACCAGAGAATTCATACTATAGAGAAACCATACAAATGTAAAGAATGTAGCAAAGGTTTTAAAAAAAGATCACATTTTATTCAAAACCAGAGAATTCATACTGGAGAGAAACCTTACAAATATAAAGAATGTGACAAATATTTTAATGTTAGGCACACTTATTGTGCACCAGAGAATTCTCACTGGAGAGCAACCATAGAAATGTAAGGAATGTGGCAAAGAATTTACTGTTCAGAACAGCTTTGATGTGCACCAAAGAAATCACACTAGAGAAAAACCATACAAATGTAAAGAATGTGGCAAAAGTTTAGTGTTAGGCAAAGGCTTATTGTTCACAATCGTATTCATAATGGAGAGACACCATATAAATGTAAAGAATGTGACAACGATTTTAATGAAACATCATACCTTAATAAAAATCAAAGAACTCATACTGGAGAAAAACCATAAAAATGTAAAGAATGTTTCAGGGCTTTTATTTGAAGTGTAGGCCTTAGTCAACACAGGGGAATTCACACTGGAAAGGTTATACAAAGGTAAAGAATGTGGGGAAAATTCTATGTACAATTCAAGTGTTATCAAGCATGAGAGGATTCATACTTGCGCAAATCTTTACAAATCATGTGGGATGCATTGCTTTTGTTTGAAATTGATTTGAATATGCACATTTTCCAATCAATGGTCCACTTTAGGACTAAGTATCATTGGAGCTTTAATTGTGCATGCATATGTGTGTTTATGTGTGAAAATGGATATGTTTGCTTATGCCTCTGATATGGAGACATACTAGTTTCCCTGTTCTCTCCTTGAGAAGATAAAACAGACATACCAGTTTCCCTATTCTTTCTCTGTGAGACAGAAATACTGCCAGCCTTGCTTGTTTCCTAAGAAATAAACTTGCCTTCCATAAGATCAAGGGATGCTTACTATATCAGTCAAGATTAAAACCACCCCAAGTGTGTGGCCATGTTTCTATCCTTTAAAAGGTAACACTCAAGGAGGATTTGGGTCTGATTTTCATCCTTGCTGATGCTGTTCCTCTCTTTTTGCAGAGCATCCTTGTCAGATCCTGATAATAAACCTGCTTCTTATCCCAGGTGTGTGTGTGTGTGTGATTATTCCTGCACAACATTTCTTTCCCCAAAAGTCCCCTTGAGGTACACTGAAAAATTTCTCCAAAATACATGCTTTCTGATTTTAAATCATGTTATTCTAATTGTATAGTCTGTACTGTCTTGGTACTCATGGAACATATGAATTTCTCACTTGTGGTTTATAACACATTGCTTTTATTACTGTTCAGGTAATTTAAGAATAATTTTAATGAAATAAAAAAGTATTCAGAAATTAGTTTGATTTCACAGGAAAATAAATACAATGGATCAATAAATTTATGAAGAAAGGTTCAATATATTTAGCAATTAGAGTAATGCAAATCAAACCTACCCTAAAATTTTATGCCACTCCATTCAGAATGGCAATCATCAAGAATATAGGCAACAATAAATGTTGGCAAGTATGTGGGGGGATAGGTACACTTATGCATTGATATGGGACTTCAAATTGTTAGAACAACTGTGGATAGCAGTATGCAGCTTCTGCAGAATACATAGAATGGAATCACCTTTACACCAAGCCATTTGTTCCTTGGTTTAAAGCCAAAGGACTTAAAATCAGCATACTATAGTGATGCAGTCATGTCAATGTTTATAGCAGCTCAATTCACTGTAGCTAATCTATGGAACCAAACTAGGTGTCCTTCAATAGATGAATGAATAAAGAAAATGTGGAATATATATTCAATGGAGTATTACTCAGCTTGAAAGAAGAATGAAGTCATAATATTTGCTGATATATGGGTGGACATGGGGAATATTACCTTCAGTGAAACAAGCAAATCCTGTGAAATCAAAACACAAATGTTTTCTCTAATATATAAATGCTAATTTTCAACAAGGTTGGGAGGCACTACAGAAGAATGTGTTTACTTCAGATAAGGTAGAGGAGAGTGGGGTAAGGTGAGAGGATATGGACTAAGGAAGATTAGTATTATGTAACAGTATAATTATATATTATATATATTAATATATATAATCATATATATATATATATATATATATATATATATATATGAGATTAAACAACATGTAGAAGAAGAAAAATAAGAAAATATAACCCATGAATGTATGATATTTCAATATGCATAAAAGCATTCTACTGTCATGTATTACTAATGAAAACAAATAAGATATTTCTTTAGAAATATAAAAAATAGTTTAAAATGGTTTCAAATGAGAATAACATAAATTTTAAAAGTTTACTTTCTTATTTTCTTATCTATTGGAAAATCCTGTCATTTCAAATTGTTCCTCTAATTTATTGAGCATCTTATTATTTAGTCAACTTATTGAGCCATCTTGTTTAGGAGAAATACGCATAGGCTTCATTAGTCAAGAGGTTTTTTAGTTTTATGAAATTTAAAAAACACAAAACAATTTAGTGTATGTATTAGGTGGTCTTTAACTGAGAAAAAAAATTGTTATAGAATAAGCTAATTGCTCCATGGGGGGAAAAGGAACCAGGTTATCCTTTCTCAGTCCCTACCATAAAGTTCTCTATTGAAGGCTCCTATCCCTTAAAGATACAGTCAGAAAGCACCAGTGGTAAAGGCAGAGTGGAAATGAGGGTAAATATTCACTCCCCCTGAAGAACCTTTGCATTATACAGAAGTAGCCCTCTGGATAGAAGAATTACTATCTTCTGAGAGAACAACTAAGAACCCACAGTGAGTGAAGTGCAGGTTATATTTCATCCTAAACTTACATCCCTTCAACAATGCTTCTTTGTGCAGAAACAGTCTATATGAGCATCCATAAGGACTTGCTGATTGTGTGGGTACTATGTACTAGATGTTTTCACCGAGCCTGTCTCTTCAGATGACTTAGAGTGCTGGCTAGTCTGTTTTTCTGGTACTTAATGGACTGATCATAATTAAACCTCATAGAATTTGTAGTATTAAATAATAGCATATTTCAAACAAAGGCATTTTACCCATAGCCTTCCCATTTTATTTTTGTAACATCTGCTATATTTAAGAAAAGAAAAACATTCAAACAAAATTTTAATCAAATTATATAGCTTTGAAAAGGAAACAAAATATCTAGATCAATGTCCTAAAATTAAATTATTTTAAAGAGCTCCATTTCCAACTGGACAAATTTGGAATACTTGTGTGTCAATGAGAAAGAATTACTGCTTTGTTGGTTTTATTATAGACTGTTTGGGCCACACATGGGCCATGCAACAACAGTAGACCCTATTATCCCACTTACAATATACATTTCTGCCAAATGTGGTAAATGTTGTGATTTAAATGTCTTGGATGCTGTTGGTATGGTGGCATATTAAGTGCTTTTGGAATATTCTAAATTTAAAATATACTGCCAGGTTGTATTAATTAGATAATATATACAAGGTAATCATAAAAATAGAAAATTTTTGAGAAATATGTCTGTTTTGATTGCCAGAGCCTCATGCAAATAAAAGTTTAATTTTACATGTTAACTTTTTTTCTGGACAGTTTAGACATTTTGCTTACAAATAAAACTAAGAGATTGGTAATCACATTACCCAACACTTAATGTTTGTAAGACAATGTAGTAGGGCCTTTACTTGAATTCATTCCATGTAGTCTTTAAAACAATGCTATGAGGTAGGTATTCATCACCATCCTAATGTCCGTTTTACAAACGGGGAACTGAAGTTTTAATGCACAGAATAACTTATTCATGATGCCTCAGATAGAAAATGGCACAGAGTCAATCATGAACTCAGGACTTGTCAGTCTTAGGATTTGAGCTCTCTACTACTTCTGGTACATTCCTTTCTTAATTAATGTTAACAATGAAAATTAAAAGATGGTCTTCTATTGTAAAGTAGATTCAAATTCTCAATAATACTAACTTAGTGATTTGTACAAAAACCAAAACTCCTCCTCCAGGATTCAAATTAGTGGAAATGAAAAGTTGGGGCTAAACATGTGCAAATACATTTACATAAATATAAACAAATTACATTAAAAATAGTTTGGTTTGGCTAAATTTAAGCAACACATTGTATTTTTCCTTTGTGTAGAGATAAATTAATAATAGACCACTCCAAACATGGAATTATAAAAAAATACTCATCTGTTAAGTCAAATGATGTTTAAACAGAAATTATATTTAAATGCTTAATTTGAAAGCCTTACATCTCATGCATTCAAATGTATTTATTAACAAACTACACTAATTGGTATATACAGTTTCATGTGGCTATTCGTTAATATAGAAATTGCAATACAAATTCATTGAAATCACAAAAACTTAGCAAGGAAAGACACTGGGTGTTATAGGACATATTTTTATTTCTGCAAAATAAAAATCAAGATCTTGACCAGTGTTACTTCTTTAGAAGACATCCATTGTTCTTAGAAACCAAATTATTAATGATTTTATTATGGAAAAACTGAAGGAGCTGAAAATAGGAAAATATTATTTCCCTCTTGAATAAAAATTTGAAAATCACAAAGACTAGAGGCATGAGCTATGTGAATTTCCCTTCTGAAGGATGTGTCACTAGTTAATGAGATCAGCAGTCATAATCAGAGAGTGATGGTTTATAGTATGGTTCCATTATTGCCCATTCCTTCTCCTTATCTCTTTTCTATAATTGACATAAAGATGCTCATGGCATTTGTAAATAGCAAATATCTCAAACTGATGATGAGTGCATAATATAATATACCGACGATCCAAAATGGAAAGCTGGAAACATAGGTTGGATCCAATAAAATGACATTTTTTTTTTAAGTACATTTTCTTTTATTGACATAGGAGATATACTTAAATTTTAAATATTGGCTCTTTAAGAAAAATTTCTCTTGGTTAAATAATATGCATAACCGTTGCCCAAACATGTATACAGCTGTTTCCCCCAAACTATTTATATACATAGTAGTCCACTTAAAACCAGCCATGTTAACCTACTAAATACAATGTGCTCCTAAATTTATAAATGGGCTACCAGTAGTATATAAAATATATAGGCATGTATGTTATACATATAAAGTAAAAAAATATAAAAAGGAAAGATGGAAGAAATAAGAAAAAGAAAACATCCTTTCCTATAAGATCCAGACAAAAAGTCACTCTAATTAGTCAGACAATGTAAAATACTGAAGCATTTCAGTTTTGGCAAATACTTTTCAGAAAAATATCCAAACTATGAGATACTAAATTGTCGTCTTAATAATTTTAGTAGAATTTTACATTTAAACATTCAATGAAGATGTGGTTTTCTAATATATAGAAAAGAAAACTTTTGGCAAACCAAAAAAATCACTCTTTTTAACAGGTTAGTATTAACCCCTTAATCAGGCATGTAAGGTGCAGATAATCAAAATCCTGGTCCGTTAGAATCTGAATATGTTTGATGAAAGACTCCAATGGATAGGATCTGAATTCTTCCTAAATCTTAGAGGGAATGGGGCAGGATGTTATGACAATGGAGGGGGTCAGCCCCAAATGTAGCTGGCCCAACCTTAACTGTCAGTGTTAAAAAACACACCAAATATTTCTGTAGCATTCTTTCTGTGGCATTTTCTTTACCTCAAGCCACAGGTCTACTTGGAGGATCATGCAGCAAGTGGCTTATAAATAAAATCAGAGTCTATGAATAGTGTCATCACATTAAGAGACAGAATTGCTGGATTCTCTCATTACATAAAAAGCTTGCATCTTGGGAATCCATGAGTTGGTATTATTTATGGGATACCTGAGATGTACCTTGCTCCGATTAACATTACCATGCTACTCACTATAAAAATGCCCAAGGGCAGACTACAGAAGATACTAGGGTCACCACTTTCCGGAGACTGAGTTGTAACCCAACCCATTGACTTCATCACAGCTTTCTTCCACGTAGAATAACGAATTTCACTTTCCTCAGCATTGATCTGAGGTTCAAACCGCTCCATCGTGACAGCTGACAAATCCTCAGGTTCAAGACTCCAAACGCCAACTCCTTCTGCAGCCCCTGCTGCCATTGCAGCACCGAGTGCAGTTGTTTCAGGCATGGAGGGCTTCACTACTGGAATATACAGGATGTCCGCTTGCAGCTGCATAAGAATTTTGTTGCTGGTCATTCCTCCATCTACCTGCAAATGGCTGAGTGGAATTCCACAGTCGCGATTCATGGCATCCAAAATCTCTCGGGTTTGAAAACAAACAGCTTCTAGTGCAGCAAAAGCGATATGGCATTTATTGGTGAATTGAGTAAGTCCACAGATTATCCCTCTTGCACTAGGTTCCCAATAAGGTGCATATAACCCTGAAAATGCCGGAACAAAGTAGCAGCCATAAGAAGTACCTACTTCTTTAGCGAGTTTTTCAATTTCCTCTGAGGACTTGATAATACCAAGATTGTCTCGTAGCCAGCGAATAACAGCTCCAGCTATAGCTACAGAACCTTCCAATGCATAATATACTGGTTTGTCTCTGCCAAGTTTGTAAGCCACTGTGGTCAGAAGGCCATGTTCAGAAAATACACACTTATGGCCTGTATTACATAGTAAGAAACATCCTGTACCATACGTGTTTTTGGCTTGTCCATCCTGGAAACACATTTGTCCCACCAAAGCAGCAGACTGGTCCCCCAGACACCCAGATATTGGCACACCTTCCAAGGCCCCAGCTTTCATTAGGCCATAGATCTCAGAAGAACTCCGGACATTGGGAAGAATTTCCATTGGAATTCCAAAAAAATCGCAGAGCTCTTTATCCCATTCCAAAGAATGAATGTTGAAAAGCATTGTCCTACTTGCATTCGTTACATCAGTACAGTGGACGCCTCCATTGACTCCTCCTGTCAAACTCCAAATAAGCCATGAATCAATGGTCCCAAAAAGAGCTCTATTTTCTTCAACAGCCTTTTGAACTTTTCTCACATTGTCAAGGAGCCAACGAAGTTTCACTGCACTGAAGTAAGTGCTAAGTGGAAGGCCTGTCTTGGACTTGACAAAGTTATTATTTCCTGGAATTCTTTTATAAAGATTTTCAACGGTAGACTGGGTTCTTAGATCAAGCCACACCACAGCATTGTAGAGAGGCTCTCCTGTTAACTTGTCCCAGACTACAGTGGTTTCCCTCTGGTTGCTGACGCCAATAGCCTTTATGTTGGAAATATCAATATTGAGCTGTCCAAGTTTCTCACATGTTTTCTCTATGCATTCATAGACAGACTGCAGAATTTCCTTAGGATCTTGTTCCACCCATCTAAAGTTATTACTTTTTTTCTTGACTAATACCAATCCCTCAAGTCTTCTCAGGAGGGTGCCCGGGGAAGGTTACTTTACAAATCTACAGGGAAGGGTAAAATGAACCAATAAACACAATTTGTCTTCACAAATCAAATTAGGAAACATACCCTTCTCTTGGGAACTCCTGTTTTATTTCTACTTGATGATGACTAAGTAGTTCAGCTGTTTTTGAATTGAAAACCAAAAAGCGTGTCGAGCTGGTACCCTGGTCCACTGCCCCCACCAACGGCCCCAAAACTGCTTTCTTCGCCGCTGCCATGAAACCAGCTTCAAGTCGGCGGGCTATCTCGGCCGGTTTCCCGGGTGACCGCGGTGGGCGGGGGAGGGGCGGGCGGAGAGACCGGAGACTAAGACCACGAGCGTCTGCTGAACACTAAAAATGACATTTTTTAAAAAAGAAAGAAAACTGGTATTTACATTTAAGAAGTCAAGCAAAGTAAATCATGAAGATGTGTCTAAAAAGTAAGCAGACTAAAAAAACTCTAAGAGTCAAATAACAGCTACACATGAGTTCAAAAAGCCAAACACAATTTTATGTTTCTATAAATAAGTATGTATTATCTGAAAAAGGATACCCTGAGTCATTTTCTGTGAATACAATACTAAATAGAATACTGAAAGTAATATGTGAAAGATTTTTTTTTTTTTTTTTTGTAATCAAATTGGTTGGTACAAACACCAGGTTAATTTAAGTAGGTTTAATTTTAGCAGGAATACTCAGAGCCTCTATGGTAGCTATTGCTTCTCAAATGTGTTTGACCTTGGAAAACTTCTTCTTGCAGAGAACTAATTGAGAATAGCATTAAAACCAACATCCTTGGGGAAACACTAAAAGGACAATGAATTTTGTAAATGGTACTCTGTATAAAAACAGAACATCAGAAAAGTGTCCATATAAACCCCAATTTTTCTGCTACCCTAGGAGTCTGTAGTGCTTGATTACCTACATCTGATACATAGTTCTATTTTCCCATGGTACCTTGAGCAGAGTTTCTGCTGAGCAAAATTTTGCTAAAGTACTACCATAGGTGAGTTATTAGATGCCATACACCAAGATGGGTGACCATGTTTTTAACACAGTGATAGGGTGTTGGAGGTTACTGAGCTCTGGAGCCACTCCAGTGCTGATCAGTCACTGGATTGTGTACATACATAAGAAAGGTGTATGGTGTTTTTAAAGGCTATTTGTCAAGCAATTTAAAATTCTAATAATATCACTATTTAAGGAAATTTAAGTTTGTGTTTTCACAATTATTTACACTTATAGTTGTGAAAATGCATCATATTACTGATATTTCATCATCACTTTAGCTTTCTTCTACTAAAATATAACACTAAAATCTTTAAAATATTTTTAGGTGTAGTTGGACACAATATCTTTATTTTTATTTTTTATTTTTATGTGGTGCTCAGGATTGAACCCAGCCTTTCGCATGTATTAGGTGAGTTCTTTACCAATGAGCCACAACCCCAGCCCTGATATGACCTTTAAATTTTTTAATTGGACTAATTTCATATTGTCTTTGTTTTGTTGTTCCTCAAATAACACCTTAGGCTCTGTTTAGCCCAATATTTAGAGAGTGCATCCATACATAACTATTTGTTGTATGACAGAATAAATAATTGAATGGATAAGTGTCAATGTTGAAATTTGCTTTTAAGTAGCATTAGCAGACAAATTGATATGCATTGTTCATTGTATTTAGTTAGGAAGAACAAAATAAGGGAATATTGCCTAAACCTGCAGTAAAAACAACTGAATTTCATATTTGTGAGATAAGCAATTTCAAGTATAAGGGCAACATCAAGGACCAGAAAAACATCATCCAAACAACTAGTAGCATGTTCATCTCTATATCCTTAAAAATGGTGTGCCGATATGCCTATATAATACCTAATTCTTAGGATTCTAATTCTTAGACAATTTTGCTTAGAAAGCTGAAGTCAGGGTATTGTTCTGCAGGTCTGGCAATCATAGAAAGTTATTACACACTATCTTTTGCCCAAGAAAATTGATAATGAAATTTTTTATTCAATTCATGTATATAGTAACATTGATTATAGATTAATTAGGGACTAAAAACTAGTTGTACTAACATTTTAATTCCATGTCAATGAAAGATTATAAATTAATTTATTTAAATGAAATACTGTAGTATATTGATTTACAAAATGGCTAATTAGCCCATCTAGAACTTGTAGGAGACGAATGGACTTTCCACTTAATATTTAAAGACATTAATGAATAAACAATCACCAAGAAGTTATTTCAAGGATGTAAACATTTATTTCAAGCCCTAATCAATACTAAAATAGATCTAATTTCAGTCTCAGTCCTTCCAAATCACTGCATAGCAGCAGAAAGCTCAGTACTTAATAAGTAGTTCTGAGAGTTGCTCCATTTTCTTCAGTTGAGTAAGGAGTAAAGGTTTTTGAAAGGATTGGGGGGGGAGTTGTTTGCCTGTTTTCCATTGTCTATCCCAACCAGTACCCTAACCTTTGTTGAACAGATCTGGACAGAATCATTAACATACCCAAGGAGTTGCCATTAGAACAATATTTTTTGTCTGAGGTATAAGCTCATTTAGATGATGCACCTATTGTGTGAGAATTACTCTCTTTTATATATTGAAACCATTCTCTAAATGATGACCTTATATCTTTTCTGAATTGTACAACAGGAAAGAGATGGAAATACTTTTCAAGACATCAGTTATCAGAGAGTGAAGCTTGTAAATTGGGGCCCTAACAAAGTAATCAGAATGACATCACATACCAGGAAGCAGTTCTGCCCTCTCCAGCAGTACCCCTCAGAGACCGAGTGGCCCCCCAAAAGCAGCTTCCAATTAATATGAATTCTATCAGTCACATCCCCTCTTTTTAGTGATGCATTTCATGTGTCTAGAAGCCAAAGTTGACAAGAGTGCTTTATCATATCAGAAATTTTTCAATTGTTAATGAATCCTTGTATAAAATATTATCAGAGCCATAAACAACTCAAAAACAAAATCTAAGAAAACCACAGAAGCACTCATCACACTTCTGCGAATGGCATGACCCAGGATAACAAAACCACTGTGGACTTCAAAATTATTTTTAATAAACTTTTTTGAGTATTATACTCCATATCAATATTTATTACTTCAACTAATGACTGACTGTTCAGGAATAAAGAAGGCAAAAAGCAATCTGTCTCAGTTCAATTGTTCAAGGTAATTACTTCCAGGTTGAATATGGGATTTATTTCAACTTGGCTCACAAGGAAATCAGCTTACAATTTGCCAATGTACACATCTAATTAGAAGTCCTCTTCCTCTTTATCATATATGTATCTCCACATTCAGACTGATATGTAGGATAGGCCTAGAGAGAGTTGGAATTAGCATAAATACTATATTGTGTTATTTATTTTTTTGAATTAATAAGTAGAATGATATGTAAACACTCTCAAAATTAAGGCAGAAACTGAATATACATTAAAAGTTAACTTTACAAAGGGGGAAGTAGAAATATCTTGCCTCAGATGATGACTTTGAAAAGCCAAGAAGAACAATGGAATCCTAAGAATTAGGTATTATATAGGCATATCGGCAGAATGAGGCCAAGTCACATTGGGTTATGTTGTACCAATTTAAGGAATAGTAAAAGTAAAATGCAAGAAGCTCAGCTCCTGGCCTAAAGCCATAGAATCAAGGAAGGTTGAAATTTAGGATCAACACTCCAATATATCTAGTCATAAAATATTTCTAGTCTTAACATTCCAAAACAGCACACCTGTTTTGGACTTTATACTACAGTATACAATTTGATCAGTTCATAAATCTGACTATACCCAAAGTGCACAATACTTAGAAATAAAACTGTATGTGTTCTGGTGACCATTTCTGGGCTGTTAGAGCTATGTGTTGGATTGTTTGCTTACATTTATTCTTAAAAGTCTAGGACTTAGCTTAATATATTTTGAGTAAATATTTTGTTTTCTAGGACTACGTTTTAGCCTCCTACTCTGAGTAATTTTGCAAAGTAGGCAATTTTCTGCTTGTGTGGCAGCTTTTGTTTCAGAATGAAATAATGTGAATTTAGATTGTTTTATTTTAAACCCAAACTTATTATTTAATCTTTTTTAAATATTTATTTGTACAATTTAATTATTGAGAATAGTGGGTTTCATTGTGGAATATTTGTACATATGAATAAGGATTATTATTTGAATGTGATTAATAAGAATATTAACAAATTTGACTTATTTGTACACAATGATCATAAACTCCTAATTGGCAGTGGAGTCCACTTAAGATCTCTATACAAAACTCTGTCATTGTAGTACTTGGAAAATGTCCTTTAGTAGTAGGAACTCAATTCCCCATCTTTAATACCAAATGTGTAGTGTTAACATAAATATTCAATAAGCTAATTGTGTTACTCAGTTTTTTTTTCCACTGTGAACAAAATACCTGACATGTAAAAGTTATAAGAAGAATAGTTTCTTTTGGCTCACAGTTTCAGAGGTTTCAATTCATTGAAAGCTCCCTCCATTGCTTTGGGCCCACGGTAAACAGAACATCAGGCTGGAATGCTATGGCAAAGAAAAGCTGCTCAGCTGGACATCCAGGAAACAGGTAGATGAACATCCAGGAAAGAGAGGGGAAGGGGTGGTAGAGAGAAGAGAGAGAGAAAGGAAAGGGCCATGGACCAGATATAGCATTCCAAGACATATCTCTAATTAGAACCCACATTCTATAGATTCTACCACCTTCTAATAATTCCATCAAATTATGAGCCCTGTCCTGGTTCAGTCATAGGACGAGTTTTTCCCAATCTTACAGCTCTAAAACAGGTGGCACAAAAAGCCATGGCATGGTTCGGTCATGAAACCGGGCTTGTCCCATCTGACAGCCCTTAAACAGCTGGTACAGAATGCATGGCGTGGTTCTGTCATGGGAGCAATATTGTCTCATCTAGCAGCTCTAAAACAGGTGGCACCAGGTTTGTCCATATTACAGCTCTAAAAAGGTAGCACAGGAAGCCATGGCCTGGTTTGGACATAGGACCAGGCTTGTCCCATGTTACAGCTATAAATCAGGTGGCACAGAAGGACCTGCTCTATTTTGGTCATGGGATTAGGTCTGACATATCTTACAGCACTAAAATAGGTGATTCAGGAGGCTCTAGCTTAATTCAGTCATGAGACCAGGCTTGTCCCATCTTGCAGCTGTAAATCATGTGACACAATTTGCCCTAGCCCATTTCAGTCATGGGATCAGGCTCTTCCAACTTACACCTCTACAGCAGATGGCAGAGGAAGTTCATGCCTAGTTTGGTCATGGGACTAGTTTTGTCCCATCTTACAGCTCTAAAACAGGTGG